GCGCTAATCTCAGATACTACTGGTTCGAATTAAAAAAATATTATTGTGTTGATTAGACCACTTATCGAGAAAGGCTTTAGACTATAAAACATGAGGCTTCGACCTCTTGGCGCCAAGAGATAGGAAGAAATGTGGGATTCCATTGCGTGCGCTCCGAAAACGGTTTAAGAAACTAAAAAGTATGTACAAAAGAATGATTTTTCAATAAATGATCTGAAATCATGTTTGCAGTAATATATGTGAGTAACACCTAAGTACGACGGGACACGGACGACGTCGTGGGTTATAATATATACGCCGCTATAATTTATACGCCGAGGAGGTTGTTTCAAATAAATAATAATATGATGTCAAAATAGCTATTCTAGGCGGACCAAGTCGCGGACACAGCTACTATATAATATAAAGTAATATTGTGTTAATTTCTCAACTTTCATTACATGCTTTTATTAAAAATTCCACACTCGACACGAGTAAATATTATTACACAATAAGAGAGTTAATACGGTATACCGTATAATTAGCGAACAACAGGTAATGGTGCTTTCACACTGAACGACATTAATACGACTTTTTGATGAGCTCGTTGGTCTAATGGTGGCTATGTATGGGTAATAATCAACGGATCGTGGGTTCGACCCTCACCGGGTCTAACTATTTCTAACTATTCAATTTATAAATTTTCGGAAACAGTTTGGACTTCGTCTGGCAATCTGTATATTAACCCATTACTTTAAATAAAACACTTTAACGGTTTAAAACGCGATATATTAGTTAAACTTATTTGAAAATGATTTTTAACTTCGGCCCGACGTTTCGGATGCTTTGCAGCAGCCGTGGTCACGGGAAGACAAGTCTAATATATCGCGTTTTAAACCGTTAAAGTGTTTTACTTAAATGTGTACTACTCGCGTAAACTATAGACAGTATTTAAATGCGTGGTAGGAATGTAGAAATTCCGTCCGGGTCACGAACCACCATCCAGAGATAAAAAGCCTAGAAGCTTATTCGTGTGGATATGGTATAGCCTGTGGATTTCCGAATATCCAAAGCCAAAATACGTCGACAGCGCATCTTGTTTGGGTGCTATACGCTGGGGTGTATCACCTGTCTGTCCTCCTGTAGGAAGGACTCCTCCGTAAACCAATCCTACCAGTTTGTGCCCTTTCGAAGGGCTGTTAACGGCTCGAGCTCTCTTATTCCTACCTAGTCCATTTTAACCATGAAACCAAAAAAAAAATCAAGTTTGTACGTCTATTAATAATTGTTTTTTTGTTATTTCGTCAGCGTTTCGTGCTGTTGCTCTATCAATTGAGCTACGGAGTCCTAACTTTTTTCAATTTATTTTCGATTTTTAAATTATATAGTGCCTTCATGCAAAAATAATTAAGTTTTTAAATGCTTTTTTGTTGTTATCTTTCTTTTTTCACTTAAATAAAACACTTTAACGGTTTTAAACGCGATGTATATTAGTTAAAATTATTTGGAAATTACTTTAACTATGGTCCGACGTTTTGGTAACAAATATCGCGTTTTAAACCGTTAAAATGTCTTATTTAAATGTGTACTACTCGTGTAAAATATAGACAATATTTATTTCCGTTGTAACTTTCTCAAATTTTAATGTATAATTTAATGCTCAAACAGATGTTACCGTGTGTTCTTCTTTTTATATTATTTCTCTTTTTGTTAATGTGCTTTTATCTTATAAAATATTTGTTTTTGTTCGCTATATTCGCCTATAATTGTTTTTCACAGCCTGTTGCGTCCCCTTAAACTTATATCTTAGTGTAAGTATTTAGTTGACGAACCAAAATTTAATAAAGCGAGCATAAGCTTGTCTTCCTCTACGTCATTAAAATATAATCACATCGTGTCGTAATCGTAACGTTTAAAGACAGAACAATAGAGCAAGTGGTTGGTACATGCTCGTGAAACTAACTGAGTTATGCGCTGAGGCAACAAGTGTCCACCCCTTTCTCACCCCTCGACCACCCCATTTCATCTCTCAGGGTGGAGAGTAAACTTAAGTGAAACACTTAATACTGGTTAGGCTATTATATCATTTTGGATTTATGCCTTCAAAACGTGAATGCTAATTGCGCGTTTACAAAATGGTTTTTACTATAAACGTATTCAATGAGGTCGCGACTTTGAATCCTGGTGATTTAGTGTCTTATACACATCTAAAATATTTGTTTGTATATCGTAGAGCGACAAGTTTGTAATAGTTTTATATACGTAGGACAATATAGTTCTAAATTTAGAGACAAGTAGTGTCCGACTACAGTACTTTATCGTTTTGTTTGAATCGAACCCGGGAACAGATAAATTTGTATTGTGATAAGGAGAGAATCTATCGTACTTAATAATTAAGACGCAATATTAAAATCTTACCGGGTGATTGTCTGCCTCCAGTATCCACAGATTTATACGATTTTATTTCATTGAGTCGATGCGGAGTAGTCAGAAGGAGCGCCAGAAGGCCAAACCATTACATATAGATCGTAGCGATTTAGCACGAAGTTCTGTCCGCTTTACGCTAGATGGCGCTAGTGTTGCCGGAACAAATATCATGTATATAAGTTTATTTTAATGTAGAGTTCGTGCGTAAAATAAAAATGAAAAAAAAGGTAAATCTTCGAACCATCTAATAAAAATAATTGTATATATTTTCAGTATTTTTATCTCATTTTTACGTTTGCAGCCACTATAAAAATAAGATGTTCTCAAATCCCACAACAAAAGAGTGATATATTTTCGTCGGCTCGGAGATCCTGTATTGTTATCTTTAATTTAGAGACGAATTTATTCAACATGAAATATTCTGATACCTTCACGCTTCAATTAAGTTAAATCCTCGCTTCTTTGAATTTATTTAATGTACAAAGTTTTCTCTGCGTCTTCTCTCTTATCTATACTAAGATTCGGAGGCTGAAGAATTTGTTTCAATGCGTCAAGGTAAAATACGTTTTCTATTGGTTGGACCATTCATCCGTAAGACATAAGACTATAAAATGTTAGAAGCGAAGAAACCATGGCAAATGTAGAAAGAAATGGGGAAAATCAAGGACAAGCTCTGCAAAGCATTCGCAACGTCGTTCGCAAGGCCGTAATTACAATAGTTTGTAAAAAAGTTAAAAATTACGCGTCTTAAACCATTAAAAGTATTTAGACATATTTCGAGTTTAACGTGTTTCATATATTTGAATCGCATAAACTGCAGACAATTATAGTTTCTGATACAACTTGTGGAAATAGATCGCATTGAATACTACAAAGCTGAACTTGCCAGCTATTTCTCAGATATCGCGAATTCTACTCCTTTTTCACTCAAAGCAAGCATTCTTTCACAGATAAAAATAGCATCCGGAATCGATTTGCAATAAAGACTAAGATATCTGTGTATCTCGAGTATTTCCCGTTTACGTGCCGCGGAAAACTCTTCGTAAAAAAGTAGTCAATATTCGGACGTTGGCCACTTTTCAGCTATTGTAATAATATCGTTATGAAATCTTTAATATTTTTCACATGTTGGCACTAAATAAACTGATAATCGAATATGTTACTATATAATATATAAATAATCGAATATATAAATCGAATAAAATTACGAAACAGGTAATTGTTAGGACACAGTAGCTAAATTGGTAGAGCAACAGCGCGGAACGCTGTGGGTGCCGATTCAAGTACTGCTCGTGACGTATTTTTTTTCTTTTTTTTTTTGATAATCGATTTTTAATTTATATTATCGCTATTTCATAATTTACTGTCTTTGCACCTAGATTTCTGAACCACAATACCGACAAGCATGTCCACCTTGTCAAATTAAATCGATCTGTTAACGGACAAAGGCAAGGGGAAATTTGATTTCACGTTTTCCTCATTAACTTAAATTTTCAAGACCATCTTCATAGCTCTTTCGTTAAAATAAGTCCTAAGCTCGACCAGTCAAAGTTTAAGTCCTTCATATCTATATATGCAAATTTTCTACGATTTGCGGTCTTGAAACAAAGAAATTAAATCTAAGCAGATGTAAATAATAAAAAATCTATAGAAAACGACTTTAATTAAAAACAGGAATATCTTATGACAAATAATTTAAAATATGAAAATGAGATAGGTAGGATTTTTAAAAGGCTATTTTCATCGATCACAATATAATACAACTATAAATGGGTAGAAAAATATAATTTTATAATATTACAAAGGCGTCAACTTTAGTACTATTTACCGATAAGCAATAATAAATACAATATATAATATTAAAAATACATAACTGGCTTCTAATCTGCGGCTGTTATTCTCAATTTGAAAACCCAGTTTCGATACTATGCTGTTGTGAGTACATTTTTCCGTTACATTCAATGATTTTCCTTTCACGACACAGCCGTAGTATCGCGCTGATAAACGAGCTGTTCTAGGTTTTGATGGGTCGTTGTAATCCAGGTCGTATAGTCCAAATGTTAATCTGAAAAAAAAATCTGTCTATAACATATTCAGAATAAACTATCTATACTAGTATTATAAAGGTGAAGAGTTTGTTTCTTTGAACGCGCTAATCTCGAGAACTACTCGTCCGACTTGATTTTTTTTAATTAGTTGGACCATTTATCTAGGAAGGCTATATCCACAGGGGAAGTTATAAATTTTGATTGGAGCTTTTAAGAAATCGAAAAATATGTATGGAGAGAATGATTCCTCTTTAAATGATGTAAAATATGTTCGCGCCAGTATAATATGTCGATTTCTTAAGGAGGAGTTACTTATATGAACATAATAATATTATCTTGCAAACAACATAACAATGTGCCGGATCAGCTAGTATACATGAAAAGATTTCTTTTGTGATGATCGGCAGTCGTGATTAGGAATTTGTTTTTGACATTTCTCCATCTAGTGTTGCAGCGCGTTCCTGGACTTGTCAAGTCAAATAGCTTCAAACCCCAAGAACCTTTGCAAATGGCTTCAAAATATAGATACTTAGATCTAAACGATACTTACGTATACCCACTGCCCCATTCAAAAGCGTCGAAGAGTGACCAATAAGTGTAACTGCTGACATTCACGTGGTCTTCTTTAATTGCAAGGAGAACCTGAAAGCCACCATAATCATTATCGTATTAATATATTAATTAAACAGTTATTTCTTTTCATGATAGAGAACAGACAAGCATGGTTCATTAAATACTGTCTATAGTTTACGCGAGTAGCACACATTTAAATAAAACACTTTAACGGTTTAAAACGCGATAAATTAGTTAAAGTTATTTGAAAATGATTTTTAACTTCGGCTCGACGTTTCGAACGCTTTGCAGCGACCACGGCAATTTTCAAATAAGTGTAACTAATATATCGCGTTTTAAACCGTTAAAGTGTTTTATTTAAAAGCAGGTTCCACCTGATTGTAGGTGAAATAGCCTAGCCATATTACAACTAAATAATTTTATAAATATATAAATATATAATTTTATAAATAATTTTGTCTTCGCAAATTAGGAAATCTACAGACGGAAATCTACAACTTCACGATCCGTGGACGGTGGTTCATGCCCGGACGGAATTTCGACATTCCATTTCCAGGCGAAATCCAACAGAAAAATTATAAATTGATAAATAAAATGTCGTACCTAAGACTGATTTCAATAAGCAATTTTTGCAAACGAGTAGAATACCGCAAGAGTCATTTAATTTTACTTCTGTACACTATAAATGTCTGTGGCTTTATTCACAAGATTTCATATTTAAAAAAAATGCATGCGCCTAACCTGCCGATTTTAATATAATTTTGCAAATATACTAATAAATTCACTAAAATAAAGTCAAGGCATTGGCGACCTCGTGAATTATATTAACAAAAAGTGTACCTGCTCCAAATGATCCCTTATAAACTCGGTTCTGTTATAATCACTAAACTCCTTTCCACCAGCGTAACCGTTCTCCGTGATGAATATCTCAATATCGCCGTACTCCTGCTTTATATAAGACAGTATCTTTCGCAAACCAACTGGGCTGAGCTGAAAGTGTTAAAATATATAAGTAATTCCAAGATTTAATTTTATAACGTTTCCAAATACAAAATAACTTGGTGAAAAAAAGACAGGAAAGAAAATATTATTTCTTTATTTAATGATTTATATTCATTAAGATGGGTTCATCAACGTTATATGAGAATCCTACGTGCGTCATATATTATCGTTTCTTAAAAAAGAATTATTATTACATTATTTTACATTATAGGGAAACCAACTTTGTAAAATACAAAGGTAAAGATAATACCTTCATATGAATCTTAACTAATATAGCAGAGTATAATAACAATTAAATTTTTAAATAAAACACTTCAACGGTTTAAAACACGATATAAATAATAATACGAAGCGTGAAATAAATAATAAAGCAAAGCATCCGAAACGTCGAACCGTAGTTAAAAATAAAAATAATTATCAAACAAGTTTAACTGAAATACATCGCGTTTTAAACCGTTAAAGTGTTTTATTTAAACGCGTACTACTCACGTAAACCACAGGTATACACTTCTTCTCTCTCGACTATACTTAATGATGCATTTTAATAGGCTTTTTTACTTACAGGTAAAACTGGTGTGGCACTGGTTTTAGCGTTGGGTGGTGGACCCAAGATGGCGTCAATCTCTGGCGAACCATCAGTGAACCAAGGTCCTGTTTCAGCGCCGTGGGCCGGCCTGATCACCCGTGCTGTGTAGTAGTTGAGACCATAGAAGTCCGCTGTTCCTGAAATTAATCATGACAGAAGAATTTTACGGTTTTAAGCTGATAACACGTGCTTGTTTATTTTGACTGATTTGAACCGCACGAAACTGTCCAAGTACAAGTTAAAAGTTGTTAATGTAAATTAAAAAGCTCTAGAGATGCCTTATTAAATGTTAACTTTAATATGGTTATAATTGTATTCACAATCTATTTAAGTTGAAGAAATTGGTGACATAGGCAGGACTCGAACCCACGACAACAAAGTTCCGTTCTATTGCTCTACCAATTGAACTAATGTGTGAATTTATGCACCATAGTAGTGCACAAACCTAAATATGTTATTTGGAAAATAAATAAATGGAAATTAAATACTGTCTATAGTTTACGTGAGTAGTACCTACACATTTAAATAAAACACCTCCCCGTGACCACGGCTGCTGCAAAGCATCCGAAACGTCGGGCCGAAGTTAAAAATCATTTTCAAATAAGTTTAACTAATATATCGCGTTTTAAACCGTTAAAGTGTTTTATTTAAATGTGTACTACTCGCGTGAACTATAGACAGTATTTATATACTATACTATTGGTTGGTAGTTAAGTTAATTTTTATTTGTGTATTTTGAAATAATGCGAACTTTCACTTAAAAATTCGTTATTAATCGTAAAATGTATTAGCACAGCATGTAAATGAGATAATAAGAAATTTGGGGATATAACTAATAGTAAATAATTTAAGCAGGGGAAAGCGTAAAGCCTTAATAACCCGTAAATTTTAAATAATATAGATGGCGTTTTGACCAGTACAAAATTGTTTTTTATTTTGTCTACCAATATGTGAACATGTACGACAACATTTTGCCCTACACCTGCCATCTCTTATCTTACCTCTGGCTAAAGCCTTCTCCTCTTCAGTGAAAGCTGGTAATTTCGATTTTCTAAACCCGTGCTCCAAACTGTACTTAAGCAATTGTTCTTCAACTGCTTTAGGCCATCCTCCTTCTTTGGAGTGAATCGCATGAGAGTATCTGCCAACCTACAAGATTTCATATTTACTTCAAAATTGTTCCAATCAAACACTGATTTCAAATTCAAAACTGCTACGCCAGCGCCATCTGTTCTGTCGTAGTTGGTTTTAGGGGAAAATGGCCGAGTGCTTACAGAATTGACTAACGGTGTCTGCGCGTTTGCCGGTATGCTGTTTTTTTGGAATCCAGAGTTTTTAATATAGGGCCCAGGTGTTTGATAGCTTGAAGCTGTCCTCACTGAATTTAAATGCGAAGACAAGAATTCGAAATGCCGCGCCGTAGTTAAAATAATTTCCAAATAAGGTTAAACTAATATATATCGTTTAATGTATAACGTTTTAAACTGTTGAAGTGTTCTTTTTATTTTTAAACGTACCATATACTCCATGCCAAGTTTTGCCAATTCAACAGCGTTGCTATCAATAGGATCTATCCAAATAAGGTTATTTGGTAAAGAAATCCTCCCTAGAAAATTAATTGTCTTTGATTAGAATTAATTGTTTATTTGAGACAAAAGTTTTTATTTGTAGAGTAAGTTGTGATTAGTTTACTAGTTATTATCTCATCTATAGGACCGTAAACGTAAAGACATAGGCCAAAACGTACTATTGTATTAATACTAGAGGTCCCGGATTCGAATCCCAGGGAAACATTTTTTTCTTCTTCTCTATATGAAATCTATCAGTGCAACAAATATAGGAACGTTTTCACTCCAGAAAGAATTAACTTTTAGTAGGTTTTTTGTAATTTATCTTCAAAATTTTATGATCTGTATTATTGTATTTTTAAAATAAACAAATAGGGTCTTGGGTCTGATCAGTTCGCTCTTGACCACATTTGATTACCACAGATGAAAAATCCTTAATGATATAAATAAATAACAAGGTTTATCGTGTTTTGATAACAATCTGTGGATTTCTATCTATCCTCCTCTATTATAAAAAAAGTCTAGATATTTTTACGTCATTTCAATCGAATACATGATTGACACAAACCTTGATATTTCGCCTTAAATTCCCTTTCATATACCCTATATGCTTTAGCGTGTGCCATGATCACATTCTTGTTGCATAAAAATGGGGCTAACTCGGTCTCTTTAATAGGGGGAGCTAGATGACCTAGATTGTAGCCCAAATCGCAGATAACAATCGGTTCGTTGATGGTCAGCCAAGTCTTGACTCTGTCCGCGTATAAAGAGAAGACGATGCGCGCATAATCTTCAAACCAGTCAGCGATGAGTGGATTCGTCCAGCCGCCTGTAAGAAAATTTGTAAAATTTGGAAAAGCTGAAGAGTTTGTATGTTTAAACGTGCGAATATTGGGAACTACACTTCTAATAAAAAAACAACTTCTTCTTCTTCTTTTGTGTTGGTTAGAACATTTATCGAGGAAGGCTATAGGATATAAAATATGGATGTGACTAAAAAGAGCGAAGAAACAGCAGGAAATATGGAGAAAACGGGGAAAATTATTCATCTGTATGAGTTTTCGATGCGTACTCTGCGAAAACGGTTCGAGATACCCAAAAAAATGTATTAAAGAATTATTTCTCTGTAAATCAACAAAAAAAAAACGGCGGGGCTATATGTCTATCTTGTGAGATCAATTCCCAGGAACGACGGGATGCAACCCGATGGATTTCGCGAGTAACAAGCGAGCTTAAATCTAGAAAGACGAAGGGGAAAATATAAATTGATTAGAAAAATGTTCGACCCGGAAGGGCTCGACCCACCACCCGTTGAGTATACGACATACATACTATTAGACCAACGAGCGTCAAAAATCTAAATGAGTCGTTAGCAACTAATCTAAAACTGGTTTTTGGTTGAAATGTGACTTTACCAAGTCTCTATCAGAATAAAATATAATTTGAAAGTTAATTTACCTAAAATTCAATTTTCACGGTCTTTTGCCGTTTTGTCGATGTTTTATATTTATTATGAGATGGATACCTCATTACTTGTTTCTTGGAAACTGGGAATTTTGGAGGACAATTCTGATGTTTAAATCCGGCTACTTTTAATTCTATCTAGTCAGATACGCTGAAGTCGTTTAGCTTCAATTTAGCGGTTCTCAAAATTATAGTTATTACTATTTCCCAGAACACAGTTTTCTTGTATTTATACTAAAATTTTATTCAGCCATATTAGGAGATACATTAAGAATATACATTTAGAATAACAGTTTCCAAAGTAATGTTACGCTGTCAGCGTGCGTTCGATTAAAACAAAGCCACATTGTAGACTATATTGTCTGAAATTTACACGAGTAGTACACTTTTAAATAAAACAATTTTAACGGTTTAAAACGCGAAATATAAACTTGCTTACAATTAACTTTGACTACGGCCCATACATGCTACCGTTAAAACTGTCTAATTTACTATCAATAGATATAATAAGGATAATAATTCTATTGTTTAACTGATTGGACCGACAAACAATTGAAAACGAAATAATCATTTCGAATTATATAATACTTTAAAGGATTTCTGATGGGAAAAAAAGTTATTGATTTTTAGCTGCAAAGCATACGACATCGAACCTTATACAGCAAATATTAAGGTTGAAATTACATTGCGCGAGGGGTGTGTCTATCAATAGGTTGAATAAATTCGACGAAGACGTGTAATACTCGGTAGCTCAACTGCTTAGAGTAACAGCACGGAATGCCGTGGATGCCGGCTAAAGTCCTGTCCGTATCGTAATTTTTTAATCTAAAATCACTTTTAAATAGTGAAAAATCGCAAGAAGCAAGTTATTTTAAGTTCAAAAATTAGGTCGCACGTGCAAATGGATACACCTTTCCACCCAAAGTATTCCTTACTTTGATGCGCGATACAAGAAACTTTCTGGGAAAAGTATTACAAGCGGATTTAACTGGTTAATTTACAGTCGACTGGCTTCACTTTTTAAGTGATTTGAAGGGGATGGGATTATAATTAAATGTTTCTTCTTGTTTCTGAGAGTATTGTCATTTGTGTTTTGTTTATATACGTTGCTTAGAACATTTACATCAAAACAAACTTACAATCACAAAACTAACAAAATTAACATATATAGTGGAAAATTTCCATCATTTTTCCGCCATATATATCGAATCTCGGTTTTGGTAAAATTATTACTTTAGCGCAGTTTACTTAGTATGAAACAATTACCTTCCTAACATCTGATGGAACTTGCCTTTTGTATTTAAAAATATTTGTATATAATAACTCACAGGTAAATTGAATTTAATAACTTTTGAAGCGGCCTGTATAAAAGAAAGAGAGGTAAATCATGATGTGCGAGGCACGGTAGTCCCGCCTGAGTCATCGGTTTTTAAGTCCGTCTGTAGTTTACGCGAGTAGTACACATTTAAATAAAATACTAAGGGTTTTAAACGCGAGATATATTAATTAAAGTTATTTGAAAATTATTTTAAATGCGGCTCGACGTTTCGGATGTCTTGCAGCAGAGAGAACCACAGCAGCTGATAATTTTCAGATAAGTTAACTTATATATATCGCGTTTTAAACATTCATCGGGTTTAAATTAAATTGATCTTTAATTTAAATGCAACGTTTCAATCGAGTAAAAATATGGATGGAAATATATTTTTTATTTTACACATACCCAAGTCTTGAATCTTCGTTGGCAAATCGAAATGGTATATAGTGACCACAGGTTCAATGCCCCGTCTGATAAGTTCGTCGATCAAGTCGCTGTAATACTTCGCACCAGCTACACTGACCTTGTTTGCCAGGCCAGTTGGTAAGAGTCGACTCCAGGATATAGAGAATCTGAAAATTGACCAATAAGTTTATACAGTATGCATTGATTATAATGAAATCAAACACCTAAACGGTTTGAAACGCGATACATTTTAGTCATTTAAATCTTCATACGACGTTTAAATGCTTTGTAGAATTTGTAGTCAAATTAACTAACATGTATCGTGTTTTAAACCGTTTAAAATATTTTATTTAAATGTGCGCCACTCGCGTATATTATTAACAATGCATACATTGTACTGAGTTTGCTGTACTGTATCTCTGAATAAGTAAATAAACCCACGAATTTAACGGGCGGATTTATGGGTTTTTACAGCCACATCCACCCGTGAAGACCCATTAGTCTCTCGCATAATAATTTAAATTTTTGGCAATTCTAAGTTCATTTTAAATTGCTATTAAACCGTTGTCGATGATAAAAACACTTAACTATATGTGTCTGCCTACGTGAATTCTTATTTTATTGCGTTTTTAAATCTTGATAAAAAATAAAGTAATGTTTAAAATTTAAATAATCTAGCATCTAACGGCACTAATTTCTGGTAGAGGAGAACAGACAATCACGGAGTTCACTTCATGGTATGTGATGTACCCCAGCCATATAATATCTAAACATCTATTTTGGTTTTGGATATCCGGAAAACCAAAGACTCAAGCTGAAACTCGATTAAACTTGATGATTTTTTCAACTGGCCGGTCGGAATCTTCATATTCCTACCACCCATTAAGATCCAGATTTCTATACATAGCTCAACATGTTTCAGAAAAATTACAAATGGATTAGAAAAATGTTGGACCCGATGAGGATCGAATCTACTACCGGGAGATTGCTACCATGACACCAGCAAGCCGATCAAATTTAGTCAACAAATCTACGAACATTACTGAGTTCTTCCTCTTTAACATAAGTACTCATGATATAAAATTTCTCTTAAGGAAGAGTACATTTATGCATTTGTAATGTAATTATTAAACGTGCATTACAAGTTATTGCCCTTGATACGAACATAGATCTAGTTGTGCTAAATTCTAAGTATACATTAAATCGATCCGAGGTACATTCAATAGATTATATAATATTCCTTGAACTATGTTTATGAGTTAAAGTTACACAAATATACTTATTGAGCTGCAATTAGTCCGTTTTCCTTGACACATCCTGTATATTATGACATTATTACAGCAATAATAATCTAATCCATTAGTCTGTGACAAACGTGGAAATTAAATGTTTAGTTGTCAACTTAAGTGTTGCTTTTAAAGGCGAAAGTTTTGCATAACATCACACCGCTGTAAGTACATTTGTCACTGATTTGTGCATGTACAGATATGCATATTATTTTTCTCGCTGGCGCTTGCACCACAGATTCGCTGTTTACATTACTATGTACACTAGACGTTAACACGAAATTCTATAAAAAACATACATAGAAAAAAAAACTAATTAATCTGTATTTGGTATCTAATCAAAATATTAATAAATTACGTAAGCTTTACATGAACAAAAAATCACTATTTATTTTGTATCAACTACATTGTAGTATTAAACTACTAAAATCTCCTTTTCTAAAAACTCAAACATTAATATTTTTGAATATATGAAATTTGCGTATTAACATGCAGTTCAAGTATATACTTGTTGTTGTTAGGTATATACCTAATATATTTACACGTTTACGGTTTTGAACACGAAATATTATAGTAAACTTATTTACAATTTCTTTTAACTACGGCTCGACGTTTCGGATGTTTCGCAGCAACTGTGGTCACGAGGGGGCACGGATTGAAAAAAAGTAAATAAGTTTACTAATATAATTCGCGTTTTAAAGCTTTAAGAGTGTTTTATTTAAATGTGAAGTACTCGCGTAAACCACAGAAGATTAAATAGTTAATTATCTATTCTTGTATATGCTACATATCATTTCAACATATCCTCTGACATGTCATGATTTCAGCATCTCTTACTTACCTATAGAACTGAAGACCTAGTTGGGAAACCAGATCGACATCACTTCGCCAAAGATGGTAGGAATCTGCAGCCACATCGCCCGAGGTCTTGTCTGGAATACTTACACTGTGTAACAGTCTATCCCAAATATTCTCGCCTTTATCTGCAGATAAATTATGAGATGATCTATTAAAGCACTTGACACTAATTAAAATTATAGAAAATTAAGGTACAGTGAGAAAATAGTAACAGTTATTTACTGTTCTCTGGGGAGGTCTTTAAAGTTTAATGGCCTTATTTTTCTACTAAAATGGTTATCGAAGATCCGTTAAGACAAAAACGACATGTAATATAAAAAATGGCTTAACGCCTTTGGAAATTAGGAGTCAAGAACCGGAACTGCTTAAGCTTGAATTTCTATCTGGACCCAATTTGGACCGTCGTTCAATTTTCTAGACGTGGTCTACTTCATCATCAGGGCTATCCGTAGAAATATTATACTAATTATACTTTGACCACACAACTAGTCCACCAAACACATTTTAGTATTACAATAATGTAAGTAGTAATCTTAAGCAAAAACAAAGTTATTTGTAATTGCAAAAAATACGAAAAGATAATTTTACCATCAGAGTTCCATCCCCCCTCTACTTGGTAAGAAGCTGTAGCTGCACCAAATTTGAAATCCTTTGGAAAATCTTGCGCAAGACATTTCCTCCCGATAAAAAGACTGGAAGCAAGAATAATATGTACTGAATATAAGACAATATTATACTTTAAAAATAATGTTTAATAAGCATTACTAAAGGTGGAAAAAAGTCTATTATATTAACTACAGAATGTACTTATAATTAAGTACATATATTCATTGTCTGTTATTTACGCGGGTATATTAAATAAATTAATTCCCTTTTGCGTATGGGATACGGGGCGAATACATTTTTTGTTTCCATTTGATGCATTTAGTTACAGACAAGTTAGTTGATTAGACTTCTTGAAAAAGAAACTACAGTGTACTTTTAGTCTAGTTCAAAATCGCTAAAACAAATTATCCAATATGGTTTGTGTTATTAGCTGTTTTAAAGAGGGTTAAATAGTTTATTTTGTATCGTTCTTTAAAGAAAACTAAACAATAAACATGGTAGAGAAATAATATTTTACTTTGTTAACAGGAAGATTATAATCTTGCGATTAAGCACGTAGTTCGCATTAGCTAAGTAAGTACGTAACTAATGATTTGTCTGAGAAATATTAAGAATGGGTGCCCAGTTCGAAAATTGAAGGTTTTTTTTAATAACTAAACTCAAGAAAATAATAAGTGTAGTGACAGAGAATAATAATTATATTAAATTATGATTTAATATGGTAGAACGAAATTAACGCATGTCTGTAATTGTGGATGTCAACTACATTTTTCCATATATGCTTCGACGCAGGAATTGCAGATATGTTATTTAAATGGTAGATTTTATGTTTAAATGACCTTTAACTCCTCAGTAAAGTATAATTAATATGCCAAACAAAAAGTTCAAGTTGTATTACAAAACGACGAGGAAAACTAACTTAGACCTTTCTTAAAGTGACATTTAAAAAGGATGCGAAAATAGGTCAACACCTATTTTCGCTTTAAAAAAAAATACGTTTCAGTTCATCTGTAATTAACAACTATTTAGGTATCATAAACGACGTAAAAAAAGAACAATGACTAATAATATTACTAAGATTATCAACGTCCAATTCAAGAAGCACAAAGTTAAAATTGTACCCTTTCTTTCAATAATTTAATTTTTTATATTTTATGTTATGTTCTTTATGTTAATAAACTGATCTTTTATTAAAATTTTCGCACCACATTTCCAATCCACACAACCAATAAATTGTTAACGAAAACTTTATTACACTGTCACTGAAAAACTCGTCCCGACTAGAAGGAACATTTTTTTATTCTAGATCTTTTTAAGCGCTTTGAGGTTGCCGGCTTAAGGATAAAAAATAATTTACCATATCACGACCAAACTTATGGGCGACACCATTGTAACTGAAATGATATTTTTTATTACCCCTACCTTGACCACTGCGTTCGCTAAGTTCAAAACACTTAACTACGTGTGTCTGCCTACGTGAATTCTTTGCTTATTGCGGTTTTTAATCTTGATAAAAAAGTAATGTTTAGAACTTAGACAATCTAGCATCTAAAGGCACTATTGTTTATGGTAGAGGAGGACAGAAAAGCTTGGGGTTCATTTGTTGTGAGGTGAAATCCCCTAGCATCTAAACAATATATTATATATGCGCCGTTGACGTAATTTCGATATTAAGAAATCACAGATTGAATCGAAACGTGATTAAATTTCAAGGTATTTTCATTTGTTGGTGGTTTGTGACCGGAAAATTTAGATATTTCTACCACTCATTTAAGATCCAGACGAAGTACAATCTAAATCCAACCTAATATACTAAATAGGAAGGATCAAGATATCAAACACCTGGGACCACATATTACAAACAGTAGATCCCAGTATACCGCAAACGTGAGTCAGTTCTGTAAGGACACAGCCAGTTTCTCCATATATTTATTTATTTAAAAAAGGCCCACCAGCATCCGCTAATATCCATTACAGAGTATAAAAATATAGTATTAACAATATAAAGAGTAAAGCATATATCTTATTTAAGGCACTACATGCATAAAACAAACATGGTGTCTGGTACAGAATAAATTCAAGGTACAGTATTAATAAATTACAGTCTAAAACAGAGAGAGACAATCTTAAAATTAAGGCACAATTATTTAACGAAAAATAGGTAAATACATACAAAGGAAAGGTCAGCCATACTAAACCTATTGTCAACTGTAGAAACACGACGAACAGACAGACAAACGAAAAAAAAACTGACGCATCTAAATATTTTTTTTAATTTTAAAGAGAATAAAGTATATTTTATTTTATTTAGTTGTACCTTGAAATGAGCGGCCCTATTCTTGTAAGGCGCTGGTTATAAAGAGGTGGAAAAGAATCTGGTAAGACTCCAAATTATTTTTTTGAATGCGCTCGAGCCTTATTTGTTTCCAAGAAAAATGTGGACGCCAAACTTGACTTCAAAATTCTATGTGACTGAGGACCAAACTATTAAAAAGTAACACTTCCGACGTGCTATTTTTCAAATGTTATTATTTCTTAGTATAAAGCCTAACATTTTGGAAGATTTTTTAATGACTGAAGATGTTTTAAACTAAAATGCCGAGATCATTAACAACTGAAACTTCCTTATCTAAGTATTTAACTTCATTATCTAAGAAATATAATTACTACTTAGATAATTAACATATAGTAGGGATTACTCTTTGGTTCCGTGTAATTTTAATATGTTGATATATGTCATAATTTAGTAACATTTCGTTGTCTTTACACCATTTAGCTAATATATTTAAGTCACTTTGAACACAAATTGAGGTATGTTGTGTAGCAATAATTGCAGCAATCTTGAGATGGTTGGCATAAAGAAATGGCTTTCAACAAGTAAAAATCCCGACAACATCGTTAATAAATATATTATAAAGAAGCGGACCTAAATGGAACCTTGTGGTACACCGGGAGCGACACTGTGGATAGTAAAGTATGTAAGTGGTTTGTCGAGGCACGTGACATTATCTAAGTAGTATTTTATGAAAATGGCTAGAATGTCGTCAGCGCCAGTAACTTTATGCGGGTTTAAAATTCTCAAGCGACTAAGAACTTCTTTACGGTTAATTTGATAGGACGCCAGAGTATGTACCAGTAAAGTCAGTTGTTGGTGATTCCTTTATGACTCCTACCATACCGTGCTATACGTGTATACAGATGCAAAGTAAGTAGCAATAAGATTACAAATATCCGATCCATTAGTCACTTCCACAGATCCATCAGATATAACTCCTGGGTAACTGTTTGTAGAACTATGTTTTTTATGTATGTAGGTCCAAAAGT